CTTCTCCAGTTTTAGTTTCTGTACTGTTCCTTGATTTTAGGTGTTCAGCTGTGTAATACAGATGGAGAAGTAGTTGGAATAACATCACACAGCCATAAGAAATGAGGCTGAGAAGAGAGCTTGAAAAGTCATCTTGTCCATCCCTCTGCCATAAGATAGGATCAGCATACCAAAAGCCATGGCTGTTTGGCCAGCTTACTCCTGAGAGCCTCCAGTGATGGAAACTTCACAGCCTCCCCAGGCAATTCATTCGTTTGCTGAACTGTCTTTATGGTTAAATGACTTTGGCTAATGCTTAAAGGAAAGCTCCCTTGCGGCAGTGCAAAGGCTATTACCCCTTGTGTTGTCCCAGGTAGACATGGAGAATGATTTATTATGTACATTTTCACAACAATTACTGAATATATTTGAAGACTGCTTTTATGACTCCCCTTCAGTCTTTCTGGCTCTAAAGTCACATGTAAAAGATAAAGAAAATTAATGACCAGAGGTTTAATTAGTTCCATGTAGCAATTTTAAGCTATAATCTAAAAATAAAATACTTGGAAAGAACATCAGTAAACCATATTACTCAGGAGGCTACAAGGAGTAATAGCATGCCAGCATGATTACACAACAGAGAAATAGGAACTTTGCAAAAAGGTCAAATGAACATTACCACTGAGCAAAAAGGCAGAGCTTTCTCTATATCTGCTCTTAAAAAATCCTCAAGATTGATGGAAAGAATAAAGATACATATAATTTAAGTTATTAAACTCATTTAATTTTCACTGAGCTAAATTGGAGCCTTGCCTGCTTATAGACTGCAGGAAGGATGCTTTTGTATTTAAGGACTAGACTGAAACTCAAGAGGCAAGTTTAATCCTTGTCTTTCCGTAAGACTTCCTTTTGATTCTGGGAAAGTCACCAAATCTCTGTATTGCCTACTGATAAAATGATCAGTAGCTCCACTTCTTTTCTCCTGAACACTTCTTTCTTTTTACAGATGATAAACCTTTCAGGCTGGTGGTTTGTTTGCACTGAAACCTGCAGGACTCCAGTATGGGAGGGAATGAAATCCTTTTGAAGGGTACTGCATGACAAAACACAAAACTGGGCTATAAAAAACCACTGTAACATATTGCATACATGGGATCACCATGAGAGATGTTAAACATGACTTGAAATTGATTGATTGTGTCTTTCAATCATGTTATATCAGACGTCTTCAGGGAATCCACAGACTGGCTTACAATTTAGCATGGTAAAAGCAACAGAATCTCCATCCAAACAGGATACAGTGTTAGAGTGAGAAATAAATCTAGTCACTTTTGTTTCCTCATAGTTATTTTAATAAGGGAATAGAATAGAATCATAGAATGGTGTGGATTGGAAGGGACCTTTAACATCACCTAGTTCCAACCCCATTGCTAAAGGCAGGGACATCTCCCATCAGACCAGGAGTAGCAATATGCCAGCCCTGACCTATGAAAACTGTTAAGCAGATGTTGAGATTATGGGCAATTATTAAACACTTTTCTCCAGATATCACTGTGATGCAGGGAAATCCATGAAACAACAAAGCATCATTTTGTTACAGTCCATAGGCTGACGATAAGAAATACTTGGAGAATATCTGTATGCTTTGCCTAAACTGGTTCAGATACATCTGCAGTGCTATGGAGGCATACCCTCAAGCAATTTGCCTAAAATCACAAAAGACATCTCTGAGCTGAACTCATGATGTGAGGCAACAGTACAGAAGATTACTTTTTGGCAACCAAGCTACTACTGTCTAAATTGACAGTATATATAACATATATAACATATATATAACACACACACATATATATAAAACATATATATATATGTTATATATATAACATATATAACATATATAATAACATATCCCCAGTGAAAAAAATAACTGTATTTGGATTTACCATTGATGGTTGAATGCCTTGATAGGATATGATTTAAAAATTACATTTGTACTGATAACATTATCTCTCTTTATTCTGAGGCTGTATTACCACTTTCAAAGCTAAAAGACATCCTTAACAGTAGTTTTTTGCTGTACGGTTTTCTGCACTTGACACCAGACAAATGGTTCCTGATTTTACTATACAAAACTAAGACAGGATTCTGGTTCTGTTTCATTGCTCTCCATATACAAGTCTCCACAGCTTGTCATCCAACTAGTGTGTTATGAATTTGGCTGTATCTATTTCTTTCTCTGCTTTCGTTTACATTTCTTTAGAGATCTTGCCTGTTGCTGCTGCTCATTCAAATTCTCCCCCTCAAAAACTACTGGTCAAAATTCATCTACTTTATTTAAAAGGAATAAAATAAACATCTAATACATGATGTGGTAGAAACCAATTGAAGCAGCAGCCTCCATTCTGCAGCTTTTTGGCTTCCTGTGAATGTATCCACTCTGAACCCTTGGGTTGTGCATCGTCCTGCTTGGCTGAGCTGCAGCTCTATTTACTTTGGTTACCTTCCAGAGAAAGAACATGATCCTCAAAAAAGCTCTTGGAACACTTAGAGTGGAAACAGGAGCATTCAGATCACCTTGAAGTCAAAGTAGGGACACAGTCTTCAGATCAAGTCCATACTTATGATGCTGCACCTACTACAGATGCACACATTAGGTAGAGTTATTTATATTCTGCAGACAGTAACTACAGTATGCCTAATGACTCACCTCATTCTTCCTACTGACAGAAAGGTGCAGCTTAGGCTTTGAGCTGTAAGAATCCTTTCTATCTTTCAGGGCATCTCCTAACCTGCAGAATGAACTCCACTGAATAACTAAGCCGCCGTAAAATTAAAGCTACACCCTGCCCACAGGACAGGGGGGAACCTTAAGATTCCTGTATTGAAGAAAGAAATCTGGTCTCCAAATAAAATAAAGCAAAGTTTTCCCTAAAGTGCTTAACTAAAGGGTATCCATGCCACACTTTTATTTTTCATCCTTTTTTGACCTTTAATTTAACCTAAGTACGCACTCAATTTTAGCTGTGTTTTCTTCTCAACATCTCCCACTTTAGGCCACACACACAAAGGTCATTCTGTGATTTGACACCCTTCCTTTCTTAAAATCTTATGGTGAGAAGGAAAAAAGGGATGTTATTTGAAACAACCTCAAACTGGAGTTATTTGGTCCATTAGGGTACTTATTTAACCAACTGCTTCAAACCGTGCTTTTTTACATTGAAAATTATAGCTTTTATGGATTCCTGTAAACTTCTAGGTATGAAAATGGCTCTTTTTCAAAAAAGTGCTTCTAGATCACTAAAAATAATTCTCTTGTGTTTACATTTCCTTTGAGTGGAATTCAAGGTAACAATGCATACTCCTTTCTTCTATTGTAACTGATCTATGTTCTTTCATTTTTAATCTGTTTGCACATGTATCTATTGTTGATAGAATGGCAGTCAAGACACTTTACCCACTGCCTGCACAACAGGTATATACCAACACTGGCATCCCAAGGAGGTCCTTCACTCAGATTCCAACCTCGCCAATGCCCAGAAACCATCAGCAGTAGATACCACTTCAAGATGTCAGATGATAAAAGAGTACCTCCAGCAGCAGACTGGCTTTTGAGTGGTGGATTAACTTTGCCAGTCTTTTTGTCCCATTTGTGATGGGTTATTAGCTTTATAGCATCCAGGTATGATACTACAGTGCACATCTGCTTTTAGGCTGTATTTGATATGCTGCTGTATGTTTCTAGTAATTTCAGATTGCTTCTTCTCTTATTAACAAACCATCTTGTTTATTAAAATAAAGATTCTGGTTTGGGGACTCATTCTACCGTAACATCTTATGCTTTCATTCAACACATGAACCCCATCCATCCACGGCTGATCTCGTTTCTTTGTGGCAATATAAAAGCTGTAGGCTGAGGCTCACTAATGGTTGAGTGATCTGGACGTTAGCATGCCAGCTGATTTTTCATACTTGATGACCTCCGGTTGCTGAGCCAGGTATATATCAGGCACAGAACTCTTAGGCTCTACCTGCTAGTTACTTGAAAATTGAACTACTGCAATGATACTCCCAAAGCAAACTTTACTTTGGTTTGGCAAAAGGTACAAGGCAATTCAGAAATTGGCTCCCTCTGAAAGTTCTCCTTTCCTTGTTATTTCCTTCCAAGAATGTTAAAAAAAAAAAGAAAAAAAAAAAGAATGTTCTCCCCTTTTAAATTGCTGTTCACTCACCAAAGCGAATAGCCTTCATACTGAATGTATTTCTAGTGAACACAGGTCATGAAATATTAGAAAGTTAAAAATAGCCAAGATGGCAGCAGTCTCCCTCAAGGAATATATCAAGCCAGATGTAATGTCCCAGAATACAACTTTCTTCTGTCACATATTCTATCTTAGATCTTTCTCAAGTGTGTAAGTAACACTCCTATGTGAAACTGCTGTCCACTAAAGCCGAGACTGAAACCAAGTTGAACAGTTTTTTTGAACAAATTGTTAACACTTACATACCATTTCACTTATCTCAGGATTCATATTAGTACTACATTTTACCATAAAAGTAGCATTTCAATACTCCTAGAAAAAGATTTTGTTCTTTTCCACAAAAGTCTTCTCTGCAGGCAATACACTGTTCCATGTAAAGTTTCATAACAATACAGCATGCAAATAGTTCAAAAAGGTAATTTTGCATCGTGTATACACTAAATGCGTGTGAAATATAATAGATAAACCAACCACCTTCTCAGGAGGGACATGTATTGACGTTTTTGGACAGTAGCAGCAGCCTTTGAATTTTCACTTCGACTGCTGCTTAAAAACTGTCAGAAAGGAAACACCTACTGTGCGCCTTCACTTGCCTTCTGATCCCTTATTAGTTAACCCTGAAGTGCATATGTATACAGCCTTAATCCCCAAGTGAGTATCTGGACCAAGGGAAATCTGGAATTAATTGCGAAGTATTTTGGTTACTAATGCAGCTGTTACAAGTGTTTGATTTGGCAAGCGAACAGAAAAGGCACTGCATACCAATTTCGTGAGCCACTGTAAAAGCTGCATGGAGGCCGTCATCTTCAATCACTGCACAGCTGCGCTCAGGAGAGCATATGGTCCCAACGTCTGCCATTCCCAGAGTATCACATGAATGATGCCCACATAAATCCTGTCCAGGAAGGAAAAAAAAATCATTAAAATAAATTTTTACACCCATAAGTAACAACAGGCTAAAGCCACCAGTCCTTTGCAAACAGCAGAACCTGGATAAAAACAGTCATATAAGCTTACATCTGAAGATCTCAATGCAGTTTGAAAGCATGATTATCCAATCTCTGCTAAAGTGACTGGGAGAATTTTCACTGAATTTAATTAATCTACAGCTAACTATTGTTATTTAAATTTGTATTTCTGCAATGCATGCAGACACTCAAAGTTGCACTAAACTAGTACACAAAACACATGCCATAGAAACATTTCTGAAGAAATAAAATATATCCAAATATACTTATTTACTAAAGGTGAAAACAAATGCATAGATAAAGCACCACATTCCTAATCATTTCTTGAATTACAGATTGCCTTTCTATTCAAAAGGCAAATCTACTTGTACCTAAATAAATGAGATTGTTATATATTAAACCTCATGTCACACCCACACAGTAGTACGATGATTAATAATGTGTATTACCCAATATACCAAGTATTTTAGCAATTCTCAGAGCTTGCTTAAGGAGTCAAGGACAGAACAGAGTGTAAAATCCCCTTGATTCCTAGTTCAAATAATGCAATAACTAGGTCATATGCTAGGACTAGGGTTTTTTTTTTCTATTCCAGGATGCTACTACTACCACCACCACTACTAAAAAATGAAGCTTTGGTCAGACGTATGGTTTTTTTAGTTGAGAAGGAAAAGTTGGGACCATGCAATTTGGAACACTCTTAAGATTATTAATTGTGGTTGAGTGAAAACATCATTTTCAAGGCAGTATTATCAACTGCTACTATGAAAATGATCAGAGTTCTATTTTTTTCCCTTCATTTTTAAGAATCTCTTCTTCCCTCCAGATCTCCTTTATAAATAAATGTTTCATAATTAATCCATTCTGTAGTGCTTATGATCTAGGGCCTATTCAGAAAGGAAGATGCAATACTTAAATTCCTATTACTTTTTTTGGGTTCATTTCTATTTATCCCTTTATGCACCTCTTCTGAGTATGGCCCTTTCAACCTAAAAGTACATTTTACACAGGGTAGTTTAAAGTGGTTTACCTACAGCAGCATAGATCAGGTAACAAAACTTAGAAAAATGCATGGCATCGTACCAGTATAAATACCTTTTAATAGTGACATAATTGATCTAAATAAATGACTGTAAGTTGTATAGGAAGTAAGATACCTTTATACTAGATCCATTTTAACTGGATCCACACAAGCAGTTGAACTGAAATTCTTACACAAATACAGAAAAGCACATAAATGAGACAGAAAGTTGCTTAGTAAAGAAGGTCTGAACTACTTTCAGGTTGATAGTGCCAAGAATGGTATAAAATACACTAATTGAGACCTCGTCTGTACATGCAGATTCTGTGCCATTTGGTCCTCTCTTATTCCTGTGGTGTTTTTATCACTTAGATGCTTATATAAGTATTCCTCCCAGTATGGTACAATTATATCAGCATCCATATGCCTCATGCATAAATTGCATGATTTATTTTCATTTGCCTACAAGAAGCTAAGTCAATGATATGGCCATAGAGCTGTAACAGCAAACACAATCAGATCTCAAAATGATTATTCAGATTTCACAACACAAGTGTAATTAAAATAACACAGTCTTTCCAAACAGGCAGTCTCATAAGCTTCCTTAGAACTACTTCTGATGGGATCTCTGGATTTTGAAAAATTATAACCAGGATATTAACAATAAGTATCCGTTCTGACTTTTGGCTGGTTAGTAATACCATCCTAAAAATTTCCTAAGCTGTGCATTATGCCACTTTCATTAAACATCAGAAAATAGCTATGCACACACGCAGGCACGAAAGGAAATAGCAGTGTTTGGTTACCTTTCATACGTTATGTGTTACTGGCATTACACCACGTTACACGCCCCAGTCTTCCTGTGAATTCCAGTCACTTCATCAGGTTGTTGTTCCTCCATTACCATAATTTCCCAGAGTATGACATATATCCAAACATCTCAACATCTTACTAGTAGCCTTCAAGCTTATTTGCGTAACAGCTGCCTAGACATAACAAAGCAGGCTCTATGCTTTCTTTAGGAATAACTGAGCTTCGGGTCAGATAAACTTCTCGATGGACTTTAATTACTTAATGGTCATCCCTAGAATATCCTGCTTACTAGCTAGCTCCACCAACACCCCACAGGCAGTTGGTAAACATTTGCCCCCAGATAGAGGTAAGGTGGTAGTGTGGGACCAGAGATCTCCATAAGATAAAAGAGAGGAGAGCAAATGCACCATGGACAGAAAGCAGCGGATTGATACAGCACAACTGCATTTCCATCAGCTGGCTGAGCCACCATATCTGGAAGGCCTCCCCAGCAGACTGAGCAAGATGACATGGGGAGTCCTGCTGCCAGCTACTGAATTTCAGCTGGGCAGTAGTGGAGCAGGACTGTAAATGGTCTTGGGACAGAAAATATTTTCTGGTATTAGCTTATTTGCATAAAGTTGTTATTCATAGAGTCACAGAGGGATATTAACAGTCATTGGAAGGATGTCTACAGATTGCCCATCTGCTACCAGAGCAGTGTATGCACTGACCAAGCTCTGAACAGAGAACATGCACAGAGCCTTCTGGTTTTCAATTCAGTGCTCAGTCCTCAGTGACTGCACGAGGATGACTTTTTTAAGCGAGTTTGTCCATAACCAGGCAGATTATTCAGGACGTGGCTCCATTATGTCCTCAACTCTATCTTAATTTCTCTTGCTCATGTATGATTTACAATATTTCTACTCACAGCATCGCATGTTATATACTGCAGACACAACTGAAGTGGCATCTCTGAGATAAATATTCTGAAAATTTTGCTATTGGATGTTTTCCTCCTTAACTCATCACTTCCTAGTTAATGGTCTTTCCCCACAGCACAACTTTTAGTGATGTGACAAAGACCATACCTGTTAACACTTTCAATCTTTTACATCTTCATGGCAAATTTTCCTTTAACTTAGAGTTTCTCTAGCCATACTGGCCATACTGGATGATTCGTTAACAGCATCTACATTTTTAGTTTGCCCAAGCAGTTTTGGAAGGCAGTCACAGGCTTTTTCAAAGTAAAATTTCTGGGAGTACATTAAAAGCTCTTATTTCCCTAGAACATAGTATTTTCTTTCTTTCTTTCTATCTTTTTTTCTGCAATGATCAATTTTTAAAAAATCTGCTTGGTTGGATTCCCCTCAATTTTTCAAACTCCTGAAGTCTCATGATACTTAAGATCAATTTCTAACAACTATTTTGCTGTGCTGTGTAGCTTTCTTTTTAAAAGTCAGTCTCTTTTTCAGATCTGTACACTCATTTAATTGCCTCCAAGCAGAAGAAACTTCTAAGAATATGTGTTTCTTGATATTTCTGAAGAAAGAATGCAGCATCTGGCCTTTCATCTAGATTACAGAAGTTTCAAAATGGAAGAAGGAACAGAAAATGCGTTTGCTACATAGGAGACAATAGATGTAAGCCTTAAGCTTTGGCAAAGGAGCAACAGGAAAAATGAGCTGTACATCATAAGACCAGTAGTTAATTAGACAGCTTATTAAAGGCCAAGTTTTCCTGGCATTCGTAAGTACATCAAGAGCAGCTGGCTGTTGGCCAGATATACATAGCATTGTAGTGAATGAAGATAACTCCAGTGGCTTCCTGCTTGAAGTAGTTAATTTATTTTACCTGAAAATCTTTGATATGTGCGGTAAGGTTAAAAATGAGAATAAACTGTTAACTGAAACCTGATAGCAGACCAGAGACTATGGACTGGATCCAAAACAGTATTTAAGAACCAGTGTGGACTGTTTGGTGGAATGCAAATGCAGAAGAACAAAACTGACCTGTGTCCCCTGGTCTTTGTGTTATCTAACCTGCACAGGGCTTGTAGTTTGTGACCTTACAGACCCCAAAGAAAAACAGTTTTACAGCCCTGAGCAGCTTAGCATTTAGTTTACACGGAAGTACAGACATTAGTGTTTCTCAATCTTTGTCCCTGTGGGAAATCAAGTCTACACATATTCTCAGATCAGATCTAAGAGACACCAACAGGACTGGACTTTCATGGTTGCACATCATGTTTTAAAATCACAGCTAACAGATTTTACATCACTATGTTTGTTTGCTTGATGTTCTGGTTTCATTACAATGGTCCAGCAAAGTCTTTGCCCAAAAGTTTCAACTTCAAATTCCTTTGAAGGATGAGAATACTTAGAAGTGTGTTTCTTAAGAAAGTGCCCTAAGCACCAGACTATAGCCTACAAGGAAGGCATGCATGTGGCTGTGTGTGCAGGGAGCTGGGGCTCCTCCCGTTGCAGCCCATGTGCCAAAGGTTTCCATAGCCCAGACTGCAGTTAGTGCTTACAGAACCTGATGAAGAGACTTATTTTCGGTTGCTGTTCCTCAGTCTGCTTCTGTTATTTTACATTTAACAGCCTTTCAGTAAATTACGGAAACACTCTTCTGTATGCTTTGGGAGCACAGGCTTTCTTGCTCTAAGCAACTCACTCCGGTCAGCAGCTTCAGGTCATGATTTCTCTCCTTCTCACCACATGTATCTTGAATTACTTGCTAAATAGTGACATAGCTTTGGTCAGAGAGGTGGAAAGTTTCCTTAACACCTGGAACAGCTTACAACCTACTGGTTAAGGACCTCTCCTGGGAGGTGGGTGATGTAGGCCTAAAATCCCTCAAGCAGAGGAAGGAATTAAACACAGCTTTCCAACTTCCTGCATAAGCGTTCTCACTGCAGGTCTGTAAAAGGAGGGTGGGGTTGCAACTTACTCAGGACCCACAAATCTGTCCTTCTGTGCTCAACCCTGGAAAGTGGGTGGAAGTTTATTAACGTCACAGCAACACAGAACAGAACACTTGGAGACAAACATTAATAAAAAGGAGATAGAAACACTAAAGCTCATTGAAACAGAAAGGATTACCAGTATCACC